AACATTGGGCAGCTTCTCATTGTACCCAGATCCCTGAGAACTGAGAAGCATATGTATCCCTCCTACATACCTGGCCATTCCCCCATTAGCCCAGATCAGCCCTGGGACTGCATGGACTGGCGTATGTGAAGGCAATATAGACTGTAGCATTAGAGTTCTGGCTGTGTACCAGAGCAGCCAGTCATTATGCAAGGGCTTGGGGGAGTGGAAAAGCGGTGTAACGTAGGATGGCTAGAGCAGTGTCACTCAACCTTCTTGTCCCAGAAGGTTGACCAAATGGGAGGTGTCCAGTCCATCTGTGAGCCCAATTTGCCTGTGCAAGAAGGGGCATGACCAGGCCCTGACCCAGTTCTATGGGGGGAGAAGACATGGCCAAGTGTTGAGCCAGCTCTGTAGGGAAAGGGGACAAGGCAAGGCTCCAACCTAGTCAGGCAGGACTTTGGAATTTGCCAGTGGGGGAAGGGTAGCAGTATTAATTGCCACTGTTCTCCAGTAACTAGATTTCCTGATTTGTGGGGAGGGGAGCCCCATGGGCCAGAAGCTATGGCTCTGCAGGCCACATTTGGCCTGCAGGCTAGAGGTTAAGCTCCCCTGGCCTAAATGACTAGGGGTCTGCCTAAACTGTGGTGGAAGTTCACTGTGCAGCAGCATCTTTAATCTTGCTCTTTTCACTATGCACACCTAGCTCCCCCACACTGCTGAGTGGTCAAGAGGCAAAAACTGCCGCATTAATTGCTTGTTGGACACATGGCTGGGAAGCAGGAAGTGGGGAACATGTGGCAAAAAGAGAGCAATTAAAGGCACTGCTGTGCTGCGAACTTCCACCATGATTTAGGTAAGTTCCTAGAGATGACTGCCCAGACACTTGTAATAGAAAACTTAAGTGTCTGCACATGATACTGAATTGGTTCAAGGTGTCCAAATAATACCTGATTAGGCAGGTATCCTTTTGAAATATTTCAGGTTTAAATGTTCTCGGTTGGCTTGCATAGCCAGACATTTGCAATTAAAACAGCATTTAAAATAGTTTAAGTATAATCTCTGCACCCTGGGACGGTTTAGTCAGGGTTAATAGTGCCTTGAGCAAGGGATTGGAACCTCCAAAGGTCCCCTCCAGCCAGCAATAGCGTTTCTTGGGATTATTTAACAGAGAATATGAAATGGAAGGAATATTGTGACACATTCTCTTTGCTATTTTTTTCCTTAAGTTATTTATAGATGTCCCCCTTGTGGCTCAGCGGTCTATCACACAGGAGACCTGGGTTCAATTCCCAGACACTTATACAACTACAGCCATGAAGGCACCAAACATCGGGTCTCAGTCTGGTCTTGTCTCAGGGCCTAAAGGGAGGATGGAAGGTCTAGGCAGCTTCTGCTCCTCCAAAAATTCCTGCCCAGGTATATGCATTGATGGTCTGGAGACCCCTCATGCATACATCATGATCCAGGAGGGTCGACAATTGCCACAATTTATAGAAGTCCAGGTGGCAGGCCTACAAGGATTTTTAGCGTTTAACACAAGCTCTGTTAAAGGAGCAACACTAGTGCCTCAAAGGAGTGGACAGGCAGAAACTATAATTTAATCATAATCTGCCTTCTGGTTCTGTCACTCGCATTAAGGAGGTGCAGATGTACCCAGTGTGCCAGAACTATTCTGATCAGCAAATGTTCCCAGATGCACCAGTGCAGCCGACTGAAACAGCAACTCTGCCCCTTTCATCCACACATGCTGAATGAATGTAAAGGCAACTCTTAAGTAACCTCAGAAAGGAATACAGAAGAAACTAAATGAAAAAATTAAACCAAACAAAGCTAATTATGGGTATTTCTGTACCGTTCAGAAGACGCATTGTAGTTTTATGGTTCTTAGCGTTAGATTCACTAGAGCAAATGTATTTGTTTTCTCTAAAAAGCAAACAGTTCCCACTTCTAAAATACAGGCAGTCCTCGACTTGCAACGTTTTGCATTTACAACATTTATAAATTGACACCCTGTTTCAACTTTATGTCAGTTTCGACTTTACAGCGCTTGATCCAATGCAACGCCACACCAGCGAACAAGTTCACTGTGTTGCTCATCTCCAAACTGCCTTGGACACTCTCTTTAAGAAATCAGACAAGACTCCAGAAAAACGTGCAGCCAAGACTCCTGAGAAGACTCCAGCCAAGAACCCTTCAAAAAGTCCAACCAAGAGCCATTCAAAAAGTCCAGCAAAGTCACCTCAAAGAAATCCTTCCAAAGAAGTATGATTGTTATTTACAATATAAATACATTAATGTAGTTATATTACTCATCTATAATTGATTGAGTACAAAATTCTGGGTACTTTTGGTGAAAATAGGGTATCGGGCCTTGGTTCAGGAACCAATCCCCCATTTATAACATTGTTTCTTACAAGAAAATTGGTTCTGAGTTACGTTTCAACTTAAGACGCGGTTTTCAGGAACCAATTGTGTTGTAAGTCCGAAGACTGCCTGCATATGGAATATAATAATTGGAGTGCAGCAGGGCACTAGGGTGCCTGCTACTGGCAGTGGTAATATGGGCCGAGCTGCCAATCACCGGGGCAGCAGCTGAGGGTTGCCAAGGCAGCTGAGTGGGTCAGCTGACCGCCAGGGGCAGGGCCTCGCCTTATATAAACAGCAAGGCCGAAGCCTGGATAATAGTTACCTTCAGGCTGCCGGAGGAGCAAGGGCTCTGCAGTGGAGCCGAGCTGACGGACAGAGCGAGTAGCTGCATTATGGCAAGGGGGGAGAGAACCTTGACTAGGAGGTCTTACTGGAAGGCCAGGTGGGGCCTGGACCTTAAGTTATAGCTGGTAGGTTTATTGTTGTTACAGCCGGTGGGCTTATGGTTCTGTTGAGTTTGTTGGGTATATGACCGAAGGACCGGGTGAGGCTGTAGGGGTATGAGGAGGCCTCACAGGAGATCCCCAGTAGTCTGGGGGGGTTTCCTGGGTGCCCTGTTTGGGGGCACAGAGCAGTGCCTGGGAGGCACAGCTGTTTGGCACCGGCGTGGTGCAGTGTGTGGGGGTTGAGACCCCAGCCCGTGAGGGCGGTATTCGGCTCAGTAGGGCGAAGGACCCCGAGAAGGGTCAGGGGGCCAGGCACAGCTACGGGCCACCTGAGCCCCGAGCACGGTTTAGCGCGGGACATAGGCCCCAGAGACGGGCGAGGGCGCGAGCAGCGCGGGACATAGGCCCCAGAGACGGGCGAGGGCGCGAGCAGCGCGGGACATAGGCCCCAGAGACGGGCGAGGGCGCGAGCAGCGCGGGACATAGGCCCCAGAGACGGGCGAGGGCGCGAGCAGCGCGGGACATAGGCCCCAGAGACGGGCGAGGGCGCGAGCAGCGCGGGACATAGGCCCCAGAGACGGGCGAGGGCGCGAGCAGCGCGGGACATAGGCCCCAGAGACGGGCGAGGGCGTGGGTGGAGGCCCGAGGCAGGCCGACGCGTGCCATGGAGCCTGAAGAAGGGCAAACACACGAGTAGGCCCCAGAGAGGGGTGAGGGCTAGCAAGCACAAGGGCGCTAGAGCAAGGGGCGTTGGTCGCGTGACAAGCCCAAGGGCGCCCGAAGAAGGGCGTGGGTTGCGTGACAAGCCCAGGGTGCCAGGCAAGGCACAAGTGACCAGACAACGTCCGGAACAACTACGAGGCTTGGGGCGTGCTAAAGGGGAGGTAGGAGGCACGTATAGCCCATAAGGCTGGGGTGCACCAGGTCACCCATAGATACTAGGAGATCAAAGGCAGCCTCCCATATTAAGATAGATATCATCAAAGACATGGCGGGCGAGAATAAGAGGGTGCTGGATCTCCTCATTTGGCACGGCAGGGGGTGCTAGCGGGATCACGGCCGCTCGTAGGGCCCACCCCGTGACATGGAGGATCAGCTTAAATTTGCCCTACCCCCTGCTGCCCCCATTGCAGGTGGTGGGAGACAAACAGTGGGGGAGGTAGTAAGGGGGCACATGGTAGGGGAGCAGTAATGGAAAAGGAGGTAGTGCTAAGCAGACAAAGGGGCAGGCAGCTAGAGAGGTAGGCAGCTTGCCCCCAGCTGCCTGTCCCATCTCCACTAACTTACCCCCATTGTCCCTCCCCTCCCCTCCCCACCCTGAAGACTCAGGCTGCTTCAATTCCTGTTTTCCCCTCTTCTCTGCTGTTTCTGCCCCACCTACTACCTTAGATCCCCACCTTCCTCCCATCTTTCCCCTCCAAAGTCTCCCCCCACAACCACCTGCCACTCCACCCCGCTTTGTTCCACACGGGCGGCTCCGTCCCTAATGCAACCTGGGGCACAGAGCATGGCCCCATACCAGCAGCAGCATACAGCCATCACTGCTGTTATGGGGCCAGGCTGGAGTAGCAATGCCAGCTCCGCACCACTGCTACAGGCCAGACCAGAGCCATGCTCTCTGCCCCAGGCTGCAGCAGAGATAGAGCCTGCTGTTATGAAGCAAAGGTAAGGAGTAGTGTGACAGAGGGGGGGAGAGAGAGGGAGAAGCGGTATGGGGGAAGGGGGAGGGGAAAGACTAGGGTCTCCAGGGGAGGAGTGGTAAGGCATGCAGAGGCAAGTAGAAAGGGCAAAACTGCAATCTGATCCCAAAGCTGTACCTCCTACCATGCATGTGACATGGCAGGAGTCATAATTGTTGACGAATGCATGCCAAGGGCCTAAAAGGTTCTCAAAAGCAGACTAACATTGTACTGGCAAACTGCGGAGATCTACAAAAAACTAAAAAGAAAAAAAACAATGTTCAAAGGATTTCAAAATCCATTGCTAGGGTAGTGGGCAAGGGGAAGAAGGGAAGAAAGGGGGAAGGGCAAGGGCACCTAGTTTCAGCCAGAACTATGTTTATATATATTTTGTGTCTACATCTGATAAAAGCATAGAAGGATAAAAGTTCATTTTCATGCAAGTACAATATAAAGCTTATTTAGAAATAAAACCACTTACCAAAACCTACATTTCATAATAAATTTTAATAGGATTAGTTATTACCTCTTGAATTTCTTTTTCTAATAATTCCACTCTCTCTCGATGATGTCTTCTGTCAGAATCTACAGAGAGGAGCTCTAGTCGTATTGAGCTGCTTTCTCCCTCTGCTTGATGAGCCTTGACTTCCCAGTCCTCAGCTTGACTATGGAGCATTCGGAACTGTTCTAACAATTCTCGGTTTTCTTGTTCCTAGTTGAAATAGAATCAGTTACTCTAAAATAAGTGTGTACTAGGACAGGTTCCTTCCTCCTTGTGCCTTCTATAATACTGCTTCAGAGAAAGATGGTAGCTTTCTCCATGTTCCTAACTTGGTATGTAAGCATTCATCTTTGTCTCCCCTGAAGAGAATAGGTGTCTTTATTCTTTCTCAAGTTGCAGGCAATAAAGGCCTCTCAGGCACAATGAACCAATATTGTTTTTATTAGACAAAAGTATTTTTATTAGGTAAAAGAACAGAGACAACAGATAAGGTTTGATGTAGGTGTTCTACATTTATCAATGACACTAAAATAGAAACAAACTATACTATGGTGTCTACTACCCCCAAAATCAGCCTCCCCACTCACGTCCTAAGAAGGGAAGATGATTTTCTGCCCAGAATATACTGTAATTCGTGCTCTAGATTTAATTCCTGCTTGCAGCAACAGTAACATTTCTACTCAGGCAGCTGAGGGAATCAACTGGCTTAATGGCTAATTGTTCTCCACTCCACTGGTGTTAGCAATCTCTCACCTTTTGAATGGTCTTGATGGTCCACTAATCAAGCTAACCTTTCTTTTAATAATTTCTGTCTTTTCGCTACTCCTGGTCTCTCTTCCTATTTCACAGCTTTGCCCAATTCACGGCTTTTAACACTTTTCAAAATCATAGATCTACTCACCATGGAAACCAGTCTTTAGCAGCAGCTAGAGTTTCAGCTTTGGTTGAGTGAGCTGAAGATTAAGCTCTGCCCCTGTTCTGTGCAGATAAAACTCTTGAAAAATCTCAGGAAACACATGCTCAGGAAAAGACCTTATATATACTGCCAATCATTTTTACTGCACTTCACAGATAATAAGTATCCCCCCCAGGTAACCTTGAATGTCTCCCTCTACTACTAACTACCATATTTCCTGGAATATAAGACAACTCTAAATACAAGACAACCCCCCAATAATTAGATTTTATATATGAAACAGTTATAAATTTGTTATAATTTTCCAGGTATAGAACCTAAGTATTGGAAAGATGTCTTGATTCTCCCCCACCCCGCACTGTTACAGCAGAGAAAGCAGTGGCTAGAGGGTGGTCAGGTGGCCCCCTTGCCTTCTCCCATGCCCACTTCTTCTCCCTGCAGCTTTCCTACCACCCCCTGCCACCTACAGTTCCCCACAGCCTCTGTTCCTCCCCACCCAGTCTCTGCCTCTTCCCCTCCCTGCCCCCCAATCCTTGCTGTTAATTGCCACTAAGGCTATTCTGTCCCAGAATACACTGCCTCAGCCTCTTCCCTGCCACCCCGCTGGCTGTCAGTTGCCACTCAGGCTTGTCTGTCCCAGAGCACGGCATGTGGAAGCTCAGTCTGAACTTCCACATGCCATGCTCTGAGACAGACAAGCCTGACCATGTAGCAGTGTCAGTGCTGCTGATTAGTTGGGCAGGCGATGCAACAATGGCAACACTGCTGATTGGCTGGGTAGGCCAAGGAGCTTGTCTGCTCCATGCCTGGGAGGGACCCCAGCCCAAACCAGAGCTAAACTGTGCCTGACAGTAAGGGGAATGGAAGGGGATGAGTATGGGGGCAGAAGCTGCAGAGGGTGTCTTGGCGGGTGGGGCTGGAAGCTGCTGTGGGTCTGATTCTGGCCCTGATCCAGACTCAAAGTCAGAGCACCAGCAGCTGCCTGCTCCCCACTCCAGTTCATATATTGAACATAAAAGGAGGGATCTTTTCCCCCATGCTGACTGGGGGAGAAACTTCATCTTATATTCTGGTAAATATGGTAGATTACCTAATTCTACTATATTTGTTTTACAAATGGTTCTTGTTCACAACTGTTCACTCCCAGTTCACATCTCTCCTCTATCTGTCCAAGCAGACTGCATTTGTATGGAGTCTTCTATGACATCCAGGCAAGTCTGTGTTTGTTTCTCTTTCAAACTTGAGCAAAGGTACTGATGCCCAAAGCTTGTTCAACTACATACACTTGGTCTAATAAAAGTTTCACAAAAAGGCCTTGCCTCTAAGAAAAGAAGGGATATTATCCTGATTAAGACAAATGATTTATATCCGGATTCTACTGCTGTGTGTGATACAGAGTCCCTCTATAAATGTGGGCAAGTCACTTAAGCCAAACTTTTCATAAGTGGTCACTGATTGTGTGTTTCTAGATGAACTGAAACCTCAGGATCTAATCTGCAGAAGTTCTGAGCACTCACAACTCTCACTAAAGTTACTGGGAGCTATGCTATGAACACATCAAGTGCTAAATACTTCAGAAAATCAAGAGCTAGCAATCAAGACATTGGCCCTGGACAGACAAGTTGTTTGAAGTATTCTAAGTAGGGTTGGGTATTTGACCAGTCAAATGAAGTTTGGTCAATTGACCAGTCAAAAATTGTAAAAAATTGCTAACAGGACCAAATAACACACAGAAAAAGCATACATTTCCATTAAGAAATGTATCAAAAACCAAATAATATTTCTGTCAATAAAATTACAGGTAAGTAGGGTTCTTTTTTTTTTGTAAAATTGCTATAATCTTTGACCAGTCAAAAAATATGCAGTCAATTGACACTATTTGACCAGTCAATTGACCAGCTTGGATTAATTCCAAATGCCTTTGAAAATCTCCAAACAGTGAGAGTACAAAAGTTCACAGCCAAATGGCTTAAAAAATTACCCTCAGAAAAAAGAAGAAACATTTTTAAGCACTTCCTGAAATATCTGCATTCGCCAGAAAACCTCTGGCATCCAAAAAGCTAACCAGGTGTGGGAGGAGGAGAAGCAAGGCAGACAGCCAGTAAGCACTCTTCTGTGCACACAGCTTTTCCTGGAAACCTCTTGAGACTGAAGGCCAAGAGGCTTGGAGGGATTCCTGCTCTCTAGCCCCACTGGGTCTTCGCAGCTCCAGGTGATGGTGGGGCACCACACCTCCGCACGGTGCTGAAGTGCACTGAACACGAATCACACCAGGATCTGAAGCATTTCAAATGCATGTCTGTTCACAGCCTTAGTGAACACGCTTAATCTTAATACTCCTTGCCTGCTATCCATACCTCTAAAAAGACAATAATACCATCCTCCTAAACCTCACAAAAATCTGTTACAAAAACTTAAAATACAGGTATTAGCTCAAATACGCATATGGTATTTTTATGTTTTGTTCAGAAACTGTAATTTAAACATCTGTTCTAAGTTCTAAGCACATAACTTCAGAGATACCTGCCCTTCTCTATTACTGGAGTGAATATAAAGAATTTTAAATGAAATTTGGCACATACCAGAATGTATGATTGCCTGATCAAATAGGATTTGCATACATTTCTAGCAAAAAAAATAAAAAAAAACCCTCTGCAAATGAAGTGAAGAATTTACATCTATAAACTCTAGTTTACTGTATGCTAACTTAACATTTATTTCATGCTTGAGGCAGGATGCATTTATTTAAAACAATAACATTAATATACAGCCTATTTCCTCACCTTTGAAGATATTAAGCTTTCAAATTTGGAGACTTCAGTTATATAATTATGAACTCTAGTTTTCATTTCTTCCTTTTCATGGATTGCTTCTTCCAAATCAGTACTGATTGCCTAAAGAGATTATATGAAAACAAAGCATTGTATTATGCTAAATTAAAATAAGCACATTAAGATGCACTAGATTTTACTTTATTCTATTTTCGGAGTAACTTACTTAGTCAATCTGATTTCACATATATTCCATCTATTTGCTTGACTGAACTGATTGAAAGGCATGGAGAACTAACATAACTGATGGAATTAAGTTGAGAACCTTTACTAGGTCTCTAGTTATACTGATTTAAAACTAATGCTTATGACTCAAATCAGAAGACTGACAAAGTGAAACAGCTGTTTTGGACAATAAAAGTGAGGAGTGAAGGCAACTGCTTTGTGAATGTTTACTTTCTCTCTCCGCCATTTCAGGAAGAAAGGCAAGACTTTCTGTCCTTGAAGAATAATCATATATATGCATATATTTGTCTCATGTGCATACACAAGCACGCACACACACATAGCTTGTTTGTGTTAGTCATTCCTGCATGCACTGAAGTAACAATGCACCTTCAAAGCATATGGCCAGGTAGCCAACTAGGGACAAGCCAAGTTCTCACTGTAGTTAACAGACTGACACTCCAGTTGTAGAATGTTTTGAGGAAAAAATCCATTGCACATAAAGGACATTTGTAAGATCTGCCTATTTCTACTAATTATATAGGAAATACGTGGTCTTTTCTGAGGTGAGCAGCTACTACAGCACAACACCTGGGTGGATTATCCTCAGTGCTCTCAACCAGCCAATAGGTAAAACTTTTACTGCTAGCAGTTTTGATCTACCACAATCCTTAAATGTTTTGTATGGAAGTACAATGGAAATGTGAAAGGTGTCATGAAGGCTGAAAGATGCAAACAATTCAAACTCCAGGAAAGAAATTATGGAGATTAACCTCACCATCTTGGACTTCAGATTGTGGATTAATGAGCTATGTATTCATGTCCAAGTTAGTCACTATGCTGCTTTCCTTCCGAGGATTAGAAAGTAACTGGGGTTGAGCCTTCTCCAAGATCCTGACCTCTTTTATTACTTCCACTGAGATGGGGATGGGCACTTCTTGTTTTAGTGAAATCTCATGAGAAGGGTCTCAAAAAAAAAAGGAGTATGCTTCAAACTGAACCAGTACTGTCCAAAACCCACTAGTCCGTAGAAATATGAGCCCACACGTGCCTGCAATGGCCAAGTAGTTTCCAAAATGTATATCTGGTCTAGGATCCTTGGAGGTCATTAGAATCACTCAACAACCCCATTAGAGCAGTAGTTTGAGACGCAGGAGGTGCATCTATACTAGATACCTACCTCAGAGTTGCCCCCATTTACTCCACAGTAAAGCACCACCAGTCTACACATGCAAAGCTATTAGGCTGGGCTAAACTAATTAACTCCACCATAGGGTAGTACTACCAAATACAACCACTATTCTATGGTGGAGTTATTTACTTTGCCACAGTGCATGTGCAGATACTGACAGGGCTGGTTAGGGCATAAGAGTGCTTCAGTGTGGAGGCTTCCTGCTAGCTAGCCCCACACTGAAGCACCCTTGTGCCCTACCCAGCTCCTCCACAGCACGTTGAGCCAGATCCAAGCAGCCCCAAGTTGGCAGGCTGACACCCTGGGTCCCCCGCTCCACCCCAGCTCAACATGTTGCAGTCCTAAGTGCACATGCAAACAAGCGTCCAGGAGCAATAAACTCCAGTGTGAATTGCACTGGAGTTTATTCAGCTGCATTAATTGCATGAGTAGACACACTCAAGATGAGGTAAAATAACTACACTGCCAATGAGGGCTACTGTCTCCTATGTAAAAGTCGCCCTTTCCTACAAAGTTCCTAAGAGGAGAGTTGCACACAATGTTGCCTATCTTTCCTTTTAGGGAGCAGAGACTTATTTCATTCTAAGAATTCAGTCTCACCTAGTCTGGTACTCAACAGCTCCAAGCTCTTAAGTGCTGGCCCTACCATTGTTATTTTGGATGTCCCAAGGACATTCAGCCTCCTGCCTCCAGGACAACCTCCACATTATCATAGTATTTGCCACAGGGCAGAGGAATATATCAGCCGTGTCCAAAGCCACCTTAACACTGGCTTTGCCATCATCAGGCCCTCTGATACCAGTGAAGCAAAGTTATCAGTAGAGGTGATAAGCAGCTTATCTATGAAAGAGTATACACTTACAGACTAGAAAATAATACTGGTGTTTGGAGGGCTGATTGTTGGACACCCTGAAGTAAAGGCTCACAGAGAAATAAGCTCTCCTCTGCAGTAAGTCTTGCCTTGGTTGTTCTGTGTCCTTGGCAAGTTCTTAAATGACATGTTTTATTATTTACTGCTGCCACTACCAAAGAGAAAAAAGTAACGTGGTAGTTGTAATGACTTGTTGTAGTCCCTTCCTGATAGGACCTACATTTCTGGCCAGCTTTCACACAGTATAGATAAACATGGCTGGAGTCAGCCATACCAGTCTGGTTGGAGTCATTTTAGCCTCACTTATGGATAAAGCTACCTTTACTATTGTCATCAGCTATATAATGTCTATTAACATAGTGCTGCCCAACTGGCAGCCTGTGGACCACATGCAGCCTCCAAGGGATTAACCTGCAGTCCCAGGGCTCTGGGTCTGGACAACACTGCCCCCACTGTTTCAGTGGCTCCAGGCTCCCATTCCCTCCTCCTGCTTCTGCTGCCTTACCCACTGTAGGGGAGGGGGAGGTGGTTGGGCATGGTCCACAGAGTTAGAAGGAGGGAGAGGATGGTACATGATATGGCATTCAGGGCACAGGCACAGTGCAGCAGGGTCATGGCAGAATTGGCAGAGTGTAGCCTCTTACCACCAGCAGCACCAGTTGTACTTCCCTGGAACTCTGGGCCCTCCCTACCACACAGCAGAGAGTGAGGTGGCTGCAGGGTCTGCAGGCTGCATGTCACCCATGCGTGGGTCACATGCAGACCACAGGCTGCCAGTTGGACAACCATGCTGTAAAGAAAACACAAACATGCAAGAACACTATGCTCCAAATAGCAGAAGTTCTGTTTCAAGTTGACAAGCAATTGAGGCATCAAAGTACAGAAGTGTGCAATACACTGTACGCGTTCAATGTGGAACCTAAAGGCTAGGGACAGACATTACACATAAACTGGTTTAAGTGATAAGAAATTGGCTTAAACCTGTAACAGAACATAAGTTCCGTGCACATAAACCAGTTTCAAAATGGTCAAAACTGGTTTAAGATAAACCTGGTTGAATGTAGTATCAGACTTAAATGATTTGGGTCAAACTGGTTTATGCAATGTCTGTCTCGGACCCCTTCCTGGCTTAGCTTAAGCCAGTGTCCCCCAACATCCCAGATGCTTTGTAGCCCTGGGCAGGGCTTTGCTTTCTGCTCCAGGGAGCGGGGCTGGCCCCACCCCTCCGCTCTCTAGCCTGAGCAGGGTTGGGATCATGGCTGGACACAGCCCAGCATAGCCCCCTGAGGCAAACGGGTCAGGAAGGGGGTTATCCCCTCACCCCAGTGGCCCCCCACTGGTGTCTGCCTGGCCAGGGGTGTAGCAGCCCCTATCAGGCATTTCTCTGACAATCCCCACCTCGAGCAGTGGCCAGAGATATGTGGCCAGCCAACTCCAGTGAACAGGGACAAAGTGGGGTTTAATTCCCTGCCTCACCACCACCTTGTCCCACCCACACAGTGCTAGCCAGGGGCAGAGCCAGCTGAGAATGCAGCTGGGGGAGCAGCTTCTGCCCAGTGGCCCCTTCTACCTACTGGACAGCAGGGCCTGTGTCAGCCTTGGCCCCCACAGCCGCACACAGCTTGGGCTCACCCCCTCAGATCCAAGCCCTATACCTGAAGCCGCTGGGAACTGATCTGGGCATGCCCTGCTTCCCTTCCCGGTAGCAGGGTTGCAGCACAGCCCCATGTTCCAGGCACCAGGTGCTATCCCTACAGCCTCCCCCCACTGGCACCATGCCATCAGGGGAAGCATGCCCTGGCCTTACTGGTAGGTGTCAAATGCCCCAAGCCTCCATCCCCTCCATCATGGTAGCGCTCTGCCACCTCCTGTCCGTAACACTCTTGGAGCACTTTGATTGGTTGTTTCAGTAACCAATCAGGGTGCTCCAAGAGCATTATGGACAGACTGACTAAACCCTTTGTTATATTAGAATGATCTGGATTTGGGTGTCAGTAGAAGACTGGCTAAGTTTGCAGATAACACCAAATTATGGAGAAGTGCAGTCACGCTAAAGGATAAGCTAGCAATTCAGGCCAACCTGGACAGGCGCACAAGGTGGTTGGAGAAATGCAAGGTGCTCCACCTCGGGAGAAAAAGCCCACATTGCACTTACAGGCTCGGCAGTGCTACAATCACTAGCACCACAACCGAAGGAGACTTGGGAGTCATGAGCGGAGCATCCAATTCTGGGCTCCACACTTTAGAAAGGATGTGGAAAAGCTTGAGAGAGTCTGGAGGAGAGCCAAATGCATAATTAGAGGTCAAGAGGACAGGCCTTATGAGGACAGGCTGTGAGCTATGGGAATCTTGAGCTTGCAGAAGTGAAGGCTCAGGGGTGACTTGGTGGCAGCCTATTCTAATATTGTAAAAGCCTAAGTCTGTCTGTCCATAACACTTTATTTGCGCTCTGATTGCCTGACAAACAGCCAATCGGAGTGCGAACAAGCGTTCAAACAGGAGCTGGTGGTGCGGTAAAGCACCACCATGATGGTGGGGACACAGGGGTGGCGGGGGGAGGGGATGAGGCCAGTGCAGCTGACCTCACCCCCCCCG